GAGACTTTAGAATGGCTTCAGTTGCAACAGCATGTGCTTCCCATCTGGTACAGGAAAGGGACTTTACCAGCTTTTCATTCGCAAGGCATCCTTTCAGAATCTTCCATCTTTTGGTTGAAGCTGAGCAAAAAAGTATAGATCAGTTGCACTGTATGGAAGAATTTTACTGCCTCTAAACAAGAGTCAACGGCACTTCTGCCTACCAAATTTAGTGAATGGGCAGCACAGGGTATGTATATAGCAAACTCATTTTCTTCTAGAATTTTTTTTCTGCATGCCATTGTTGCACCCATCCATATTAGCTGCGTTGTCGTAAGACTGACCTCTGCATTTCAAAAAATCAATATTTGCAAGGTTCATGTAAGTACTGCAACACTTGCTGAGCCATACCTTCACCGGCGGGACTTTGCAGCTCCAAGAAACTCAAAAAACGCTCAATGGGCTCTCCATCTACCACCTATCGAAGAACAACGCCTAAACGATCTATATGTGAAATATCAGGTGTTGAGTCTACTGACAAGCTGAGATAACTGGAAGACTTTACTTCATCTACAATCACTGCATGGACTTTTTGGGACATAATTTCAATCAGTTCTTCACATATGGTTTGGATAAATAAGGATTTCCTTTTCCAGAATTTCCATATTTCGCAATGTGTGACGCTATATACACATTTTTCTTGACGACTTGTGGTGCCCCCCCTCCTAAATGCGTGGTGCCCTAGGCACGTGCCTTGTTTGCCTAATGGTTAATCCAGCACTGCCTGGATGGCAACTCACCTAAGAGCAGGAAAACTCTGAAACCAAACCTGGAGATGGAATCCCTAGGTCAGCGGTTCTTAACTTGTGGGTCGTGACCCCTTGGGGGGGGGGAGGGGGCGGCTCGCCTAACCACTGCCGCAGACGGTTATGACACTGACACAACAGTAATTTCCGGCAACTGCTGCAACGCTATTGGTGCCAAGCTGCACCACATCACGATGTTTGTTCCTTTGGGTTATCCAGATGCGTAGAGAGAGCTGGCAAAAATATGACACATGACGTGATTCCCATATCATGTCTTATGATATCATAGGATTGATATAACTGGTTATGGTGTGATCATCATATGATTTATATATGATTTTCATTTAACATGAGATGATACATTTGTCCATTCATTATTGTTGAACACTGCTGGTCTGTATAGCTTCCTGAGGATTTTTCATGGATGAGTGCGTCGTTACTTTCTTACATTTACAATGTAAACACTTTGATAGGTTTCAAACACAACATGACTGAAATAACTTAAGCCAAACACAATAATTGTCCTGACATTTTAATTTACAAATAAACATTTTTTTCAAGGCATCGCTGCAAACAATAAAGTTTGGGGGGAAATGCTGGTACCCGGTACACAAACTTCATTTTTTCTTCCTCTCAGCATGATTGAATGTACAGAGTTTGAGTGCATGGACCCACAGTTCATTGATAGATTACATGTTTTATCTACATCTATTTACACAGCGGTTAACACACCAGGAATGCTATCACTAACAAGGGCTTCTAAGTTGAGCTCACTGAAGGCTTTCTCTAACATGTAACTATTAAGTGTTTAATACACTTCGGAAACTATCAGTGCTTCAGCCAGCCGTCCATCTCAGAGTTGTCATCACTTCAACTTATCAAGACGGTCAAATTAAAAGTTTCCTGATGTATTATAAACACATTCTGATGTGTTTTATATCATGGATAAACATTTAGTGTTTTTTACCTTTGAAAACTGTAACTGTAAGAACTTTTTTGTTTAGTCTGAAAAGTCAGATTTGACTTGAGTCATATAATTTTTTTCTATATCCACAATGAATATTGTTTTTACTGTAGAAAAACAAAGTTAGGCAGGGGCCAATGGAATTCAGTGACATTTCTACAAGTGTTCATGATAAAATCTTAACATAAACAAAATGTCAAAGGTTCATGGGTAACAGGCACAGCAATTAAAGACCACATTAACAACAGTGACAATGTCGTGACAAAAAGAATTCATCCGTTTGTCATGTTAAGTAGAACTGATTCTATATCAAATTGATAAAATTGTTTATTTAAAAAAAAATAATTTTGGACACATTTCTCGAGGAGGCCATTCTCAACAGTTGGCAGCTGCATCAAAGAATCACATGTTGACTCAGCTGAACAGCCCTCAATGACTAGCTCAACTTTATTGGGCACTCCCACACAGATACCTGGTTATGCTGGATGGGACAGAGGCTGTGCACAAACACAATGTATCTACAAACTAGAATCAAGACTTGGTCTGAAGCCACAACAGAACTTTCATGCTTAACACATTTACTGTTGAATGCTCAACTTGTTTCTACGAATAGTTAGACGTTCACCTGGTTCAGAAGTTGTTACCTGAAAGTCTTGATTGCATTTGAACGTACAGCTAAGGAATGCGGCACACAGCACAACCTGGTCAAAACTTACCAAAGGAATGCGGCACACTGCACAACCTGGTCAAAATTTACCAAAGGAATGCGGCACACGGCACTACATGGTCAACTTTCCTGTCCATTGATACACTGTCACAGAAATTTTTGTCAAATGCTCAAAATTGAAGTACTTTTGTTGAAACCTGTATTCATTTGATATGCAAACAATAACATCATATGTTTATAACACCTTAACATCCACTTGAGAAATATGTGGTAGAATTTCCTTCCAACCGGCAGTCATGCAAAGCACAATATCTATTTTTTTTTAGTTTAGATCTATATATAAAAAAAAGCAACAACAACATTACTTCAGTAGCGTATGGCTTCAACTGGCATAATATGTTCATGTCATTCAACAATACAGACATAGAAATATAATGACTTTACATCAAGAAAATATACCAGTTGTAGCATTGAAATTTAGACATTATTACGTACAAATATTTTAGAGGAAACCATAAACATCACTATTAGATTTAAATATCTATGTTTTTGTGTGGATTGCACGTCTTTGTCTGGAGCACATGTTGAGGTACCGATAAATAAAAGCTGATTCAGATAAGAGTTTTAGGTTCTTAACATTTTTCTGTCTTGGAAAGCTACCAAAATGCCACAACTTGTTTAAGGTCATAAGGTTAGTAGGATAAAACAAAAATACATTGACATAAATAGGAAAGAAGATATTTCATACATATTTCAAAAGATGGGTTGAAAAGTGTTCAAAGTGGAATAGTTTTTGACAATGGGTCAGCAGGTATTTTTGGGATTAAGGAACATGTGCCCTTAGACCCAAGAGACGGACACAATGAACGTGTGCCTTTAGACCCAACAGACGGACACAATGAATGTGTGCCCTTAGACCCAACAGACGGACACAATGAACATGTGCCCTTACACCCAACAAAAAGACACAATCAACATGGTTCTTAACAGATCAATTTCAATAATTTTTTTACAAATAAATACACCAAGGATTGGTCTCTATGACATTTTTTTTTAAAAAATGTTTTTTTGCTGAGCTGCCTTCAATGAAATAATGCTTTTTTTAAAAAAAAATTTCAACTTAACCAAAAGCATATAAAAAATTTCAATTCAAAATTTAACCTTTATTTTATTTAAAAAATTTAATTAATTATAGTCCAATGTTTTTATCACATAACCTTTGTCATCACAAGTTTATGATTAAAAACATTCAATTATTGCCTTTAAATTAAAAAAAGTTGAATTTTGTAATAAATAAAAAATTCAAATGACATAAAAACCTTTCAATACAAGAGTTTCCTTTCTTACTACAGCTCTCAAGGTAGATAATTTAATCTAAAAAGATTAGATGAAAATTTGCACCACAAAAGGAATTATGAAATCAGTTTTTCTTGTTTCTTCTTCGTACATAAAAAGTGTGAATGCTCGGTGAAGGCATCATTCCCAGCTCACAAAAGGATGAGTGGCGTAATACTCTTTGCAGTTGGTCAATTCAGCCAGGTTCGAACATTAGGGCAATTGATAGTTTGACCGCTAGTCAAACCGGAGGTGAGGTGATTGTTTTACCATTGGTCAAACCTGAATTGAAATGATTGGCTGACCTTCATTGGTCACACATGAAATGAGATGATTGCTTGAACTCCATTGGTCAAACATGAGGGCAGGTAATTTTTCCACCATTGGTCTGGCACAGGGATGACCAACCATTTGAACTGTATGGACAGTTGGAATCCAAATGTGTCACAAGTGAAGATAGTAATAAATTTGCAAAAGTTGAGTGGAAGAAAAGATAAACTTATAAATAAAATTTACTTTTGTTAAAATTATATTTTATTTTGTACAATAATATATATTTTTTTAAATTCTGCCCAGCATTCATTGGGTGTACATTTTATTTATTGGGTGTGAAGACATGTAATCCACAAAATGTCATGCACTAAAATTGGCCTGTGACGCCGATGGGGCCGGCCACCCCTAGTCTAACATTTAGGTTAACAAAATAAGCTTCAGGTGATAATGATAAACAGAACGAACAAAATTACAGCCCAAAATCATGGGACATGGCTGATGTCAACAATAAAATAATAGCTATAAAAATAGAATAAGTTCAAAATGTCTTGCCTGTGCTGCATAAATGACTTACAGATGTAATATATGTGGCAAAAGACATATGTTTGAAATGATTCCTTGGGGCTCAAAAACTTTCAGAAGGACAGGCTAGGGGGTAGTGTCCTCCCTCTAGCTTACTGAACTTACTGCCAGTTACACCATCCGTGTAGACATCGCACAGATGTATACCAATGTTGTGCAATAACAAAACAATGAATACAAAATGTTAACATAAAAAAATCTTCAGAATGACATGAACCACTGACCAGAGACCCCCTCTTGGCTCGTAATTTTACAAGCTTAACTACTGGAATGCATTGTTTATATTATATGATAGCATCTACAGCTGGGGAGGGGAGAGGGGGAGGAGGGGGGAGGGGGAAGAGGGGGGGAATAGCATCTACAGCTGGGGAGGGGAGAGGGGGAGGAGGGGGGGAGGGGGATGAGGGGGTCATTGGTTCTAAACTTGGGCAACAATCAAGCAATTTTGACATGGGTTTAATGGGACTATCCTTAAAATGATGTGAAAGAAATACAAGTTTAAAGAAACACCAGGCTATATGCAGCAAGAAATTGTGGCAAAGGGTTATTCCCAGACATAAATTGCCCACCATTTAACCTTGTGGTTAAACAATTAAACCTTGTCATTAAACAATTAAACCTTGTGGCTAAACAATTAAACCTTGGTGTTAAACAATTAAACCTTGCTGTTAAACAATTAAACCTTGTAGTTAAACAATTATTAAACGATTTAACCTTGCGGTTAAACAATTAAACCTTGCGGTTAAACAATTAAACCTGGCAGTTGAACAATTAAACCTTGCGGTTTAACAATTAAACCTCATGGTTAAACAATTAAACCTTGTGGTTAAACACACAACGTTCTAGTTGAACAATTAAATCTGCAGGTTAAACAAGCAAACTGTGCGGTTCACTCCATAACCATAAAACACAAGTTCACATTTGAAAAAATGTCAAAACTGTGATTATGAACCCTTGGGTAAGAACATTAAAAACTCTGTTTCTGGCAAGTGTGAAATTCTACAATGTCACATGACATTTATATACCTTTATGGAACAACTTTTCATGTATGCAAAATAGCAAAAAAAAAATCAACAATAGCAAAAAATCAATAACAATTTGAAATTAAAATCTTTTTTAAAACATTTCTGTAGAAAACACATTTAAGAGAATAAAAATCAAAACAAAATAATGGCCTGATCAAATATATAATTAAAAAGTAAGAGAAATGTGTCAATCATTTTTAATTCAGGTTGCAGTACATTCCCTTGTTGTCATGGTTACAGCTATTTGTTTAATCCAGGGGAAACTAAGCAAATGTGCCCTGATATCCGGCTAAGGATCAGTGCCCTGGTACCCTCTTACAAATCTGGCTCCTAAAAAAAAAAAAAAACTGCGTCACTTTAAATAAACAGGAAAGATGGATTTTTTTTCCAACAGTTGATCAAATTCTGGGAAATATTTCAAAATTGAAGGGGACACTTCTGTGTTTTCTAATGGAGCCTTCATAGACAGTAAACAAAATACTGCACAATGTTATGTTATAAATATGGGAGATACTCAAAAAATGTACGATAGTTGGGAGAGGAGAAACACACATTTTTTTCAAGTACAATACATTTTCCATTTTTACTTATGTCAGCTAAAATAATGCAAATAAAAACTGAGGTAGCTAGGAATTATTTTTTTAACAGGATCTTACGAAACTAACACGGGAAAGGGAGGAAAAGAAATCATTTTTATGCCTGGCAGCAAATTTAATATTGAGAAATAGTACATTGCAATAATATAAGTATAAGGGAAATAAAATATTGCATACATACAAGGGAGATAATCTAAGCGTAATCCATTAAGTGCCAACCTTTGGCTGGCAGGCAAATGAATTAGCCTCACTTCCTTCAACCAGCCCTCACAGATGCATCCCCTATGAAATAACAGTAACATAAATCTTCATGTTTCTTGTTTGTGAATCTTCTATGGAGAAATGAGGCCATGAACCTGTCTAGGTCTGTAGAGTGCCACTTAACTCAATTCCAAAGACAGCACTCAGAATGGTGTTAAGCTCTCCGACAGCCAAGGGAACATAAAACAACAGGAGGATCTGACGTAGAATGACAGTGAGGGATCTGCAAAATTGGAATCCTGACCCCCACAGACAGGTGTTTTAGAAGAAACAACAGACAGAAATGATGTGTCCTGGCTAATGTCTCCAACACCAGTGATCATGATGACAACAGACTTGAGAGAGGTGAAAATGTCTTACAAGTTCAGTATAATATAGGATTATTTTGCAATGAATAAATAAATGTTATGTCACTGGAGAAATGTATACAATTTGACTAGGCAAGGGATTCAGGAAGAAAGGCATAAAAAGAAAGGAAGGCATGGTAAAGATTGATCTGATATTGAGCAAGTCATTTAAATCATTGGTTAAAATCCTGACGCAAATCCAACAAAGTGAAATCAATCTAATCAATTCTGACACAAGTAAACAGTCTAATTTATGACAGTTTATTCAAAAGTAGGTCAAGAATTAAAATATGCTAGTTTATTCAAAAGTAGGTCAAGAATTAATTCTACGCCAGTAGAAAGACAGCAAGTCAAGAAAAGTGAAATATCTAATCGGTGAGCCAGTAAAGGGTGATAATGTTCAAATCAAGGACCTATATTTATGACATGCCCCATGAGTCATAGATCTAGTGCTGCTACAAAGTTTAGTATACATTGAATCTAATGAATGCATCAAATGTAAACATCCTGCTCTGAAAGACATTTTAATATGTTGTGTCTCTAAGAGAAATTTTAATATTTAGTAGTGTCTTAAGATAAATTTCAATATTTATTGTCTAAGAGAAATTGTAATATTCAGTGTCATAAGATAAATTTTAATATTTAGTGTCTAAGAGAAATTTTAATATTTAGTGTCTTAAGACACATCTTGATCTCAAGTATGTCAGCTGTGACCTCTGAATTTGTCGCCCAGCGTGGAACATAAACCCATGGCAGATGCTTGAGGTTGCGCCTCAGCTTGCTACCAGCTGCTCTGTTTTGCTGTGTCTTTAGGCTGTGCCACATCCAGCTACTGGCTGCTCTGTTTTATTGTGTCTTCACACAGTCAACAACTCCTTCATGTGAAGAATCCCCCATGCCACCTGGAACGAGAGCAACATTTTATAAAGAAAAGTCTACACAAACGAAGCCCAGTACTTTTGTTAGGTCTTAAAATAAGTCTATGCAGAGATTAACATTCGTATTAGTTGTAACATTTTTGTTCTGATATTAGAAAATTAGATTGTTTCAGAAATTATGAAAGGAGTGATGAAACATCCACAATCTGTCATATTTGATGAGTTAACAAAAAAAATGGCTAGTACCAGATTATCTGCAAAGGTCCTCTGAAAGATAACATTTACAAAATCTGTAGAAACTATAGCACGACTCCTGTCATTTAACTAACACACCAAAAAAGCTGTGAAGAGATAATATTCAATGTCAACATGGTTTGGTCCGATTGAAAACTACACTCGTAAAAATATAGTAGGATACACATACAAATGGTGGGCTGTCTCCCCTTAATGTTGTGCTATCTCCCCTTAATGCTGTCCTGTGTCCCCCTTAATCTCACCTCTGAATGTTATCTCCCCTTAATGCCGACCTGGTCTCCCCTCAATCTCACCTCTGAATGTCTGGTTAAATATGTACAAGGTATCCTGATCAGTGCCATCACTCTTCCTTGCTTTATCAAACTCATCCATGTGTATGCAGCAGAGATCTAGTTTTTAAAAAAGTCGTACAACAACAAAAATTCCACAACAATCCTTAGGATTAAACAAGACATATTTAGAAAATATACAGGGATGGAATAGATATGACAGCCAGCTCATCATGTCTGAATTTCACGTCATCTAAACAAGCGCTTCCTTAATTTTTCAGTCTGACAGATCCCCATAAATTAACCTACACACCCAGGGGTCGGCAAACTGGGGTAAATTACCCCAAATAACATAAAACTAAAAATTTTGGGGGTGATGAGGGCTGAAAGGACATAAATAAAACTATATTTAAAGCATGTTCCTTTACATGAAATAGTTATTTCTGAACACAATGCATCTATCCAGTGTAAGAGACAAGCACACCCAGCATGTTGTGATTAGCTCATGTCTCGACATGTATATGCCATTTCGGACTAGTACACAATTTTTTTATGATGTTCAGAGGCGTCACTAGAGTTGGTGTCACCCAGTGTGGTAAACTCATGGTGTCATCGCACAGATCTCCCACAAGTCTGCCTGCCCTGTGGACACCCTGCTCTATAGCCCTGCTCTGATGAGTCTGATGGTACCCTAATGTGGTACCCTGCTCTTGTATTTAGCTCACGTGCCATGAAACTGACTAGATGAAGATTTTTGATCCTACTGTGAAAGTGCACACTCTCCACCCCCTTAGTTATGATATTGCTTGTGCTCAAAATGGGTTACCGGAAATTTGATCGAAAGAAATTTCGTCGACGGTAAATTGATAGACGGTAATTTGATCGACCGGAAATTTGGTCGAATCTTTTTTTCAGTTCACACGTTAAGATTTTCGTCAAATTTCTTTTTGAACGCACTATACTATATAGTAAAACAAAAAAATGCGTTCAAAAAGACATTTGAAGCAAAATTCAAACGTAAAAAGGGAAAAAAAGATTCGACCATATTTCCGTTCGATCAAATTACAGTCGATCAATTTACCGTCGACGAAATTTCTTTCGATCAAATTTCCGGATACGCTCAAAATGTCAAGCAATGCAAAGGCTTTCAAAATCCTCATAAAAAGTAGTCAGTCAAAAAGGTGCTGCGACAACCTACCATTGAGAACAAGGATTCTTCACTTCCATAAACATGAGAGTACAGATTTTATAAACATAAGAGTACAGATTTTATAAACATGAGAGTACAGATTTTATAAACATAAGAGTACAGATTTTATAAACATAAGAGTACAGATTTTATAAACATGAGAGTACAGATTTTATAAACATAAGAGTACAGATTTTATAAACATAAGAGTACAGATTTTATAAACATAAGAGTACAGATTTTATAAACATAAGAGTACAGATTTTATAAACATAAGAGTACAGATTTTATAAACATAAGAGTACAGATTTTATAAACATAAGAGTACAGATTTTATAAACATAAGAGTACAGATTTTATAAACATGAGAGTACAGATTTTATAAACATAAGAGTACAGATTTTATAAACATGAGAGTACAGATTTTATAAACATAAGAGTACAGATTTTATAAACATGAGAGTACAGATTTTATAAACATGAGAGTACAGAAATAAGTTATTTAGACCTAAAGACAGAAGTATGTCAAATGCTTTTATTTAAAACAGACCGAACTTTGATGTCAGTGTACCAAAATGAAACATCATTTCTACAAAACTTAATTATGGAAACAAATATTTCTTTGAACAAATCTCCATTTTCAATTTGTTCAAAGAAATTTTTCTTCTTTGGGTAAAAGTGAAGATTTTGTTCATTTACTTTACTGAATTTATTTTGTACTTTAACAATTATATTTACAACTCGATTCTCCATAAACATACATAGAAAAAAAAATTTGAATTTTAATAGCCAATGATTTTCTTCCGTTCCATTCGACGGGGTAATGTCGGCGTAAATGAATATATTTTTGGGTAATGGCTAAAAAAGTTCTCCAGCCCCTGATCTACACTCCTGAAGGGAACAGTAACAAATGTATTGATTATTTCGTTTCATCTATTGTGGACTGGCCACTGCTGGCTTGTGTACCAGTTCCAGTTTGAGGCGCTCTCATTTTGTCAATGAAATATCACAAGAAGCTATGAGAAAAGTCTTAGTTTAAGTGCACTAGGGTACTGGTTACACAGAAAAAAAACACATCCGAAGATAAACTACGTCAGAAGCTGAGCAATAGGTGTCACAAATGACTGGGGCGGGGGTATAGGACAGAGCTCCATTGTTGTTAAGGTAACTTATAGGATGGAAGGAAACTGCTGTTAATGGGGTTAAGTTAAGGTTAATGGACTCTCACATCTTGGTATAGTGGGGATTGTTTCTTTGGATAATAGTATGTTCGGGTTTTCCAGACTTCGCATGATAATTTTTGGGTTAACAATGGGAAGGTCTAATTGACCGAAATTAGGGGGCATGGGTGTGTTTATAGATAGCATTCCTGGACCACCTATGGGGGGTAGAGGATCACATATAAGAGGGAGCTTTCACGGAGTTGAGTTAGTTGAGGGAGAGTGAACAGAGGTACGACGTAGTTGAGGAAGAGGAAAAGGAGCGACAGTAGTTAGTTGAGGAAGATAGAGAAGAACTACGGATTAGTTGAGGAAAGAGAGAGAGAAAAGAGCTACGATAGAACTGAGCAGTTGTTAGGGAATACTTGCTAGAGACCAGAAGACGACATATGATAGAAGAAACTTATATCTTAGAAATAAACATACTTTCATTATCGTTGGACACCTGGAGTTTGAGTTGTTGCATTTCGTCCAAGTCTACGTTGTGCTTTTGTCTGTCTCAACGCCTAGATACCCACAATATAAATCACAAAGAGGAGCGGTCCTGTACTGACCACTGCTAAGTCAGTATAGTTGGTGATAAGTCAGGACCGGAGCCCTCCTCCGTAACAACCGTTCTGTGACAATAGGCTGATAACTATTTTGTCTTCGTTTAGCTAACATATAGGCCATCCTTACAAAAACTTAGAATGGAGCTAACATCTAAACCATCCTTATTAAAACACAGAATGGAGCTGACATATGAAAACATGTCCACTGTCCAATGACTCTTTGCTTTTAACACTTACCATGATGATGGGAGTCTGGGTTTTTGTAGAAAATATGAGCTTTATTGATATCATAGCCACAAACTACAACAAAATGACCTGAAAGAAAAATCAGTGAGAAAAAAACAAGTTGACCACATTCATTTTGAAGCAAAAAAAAAACATGGATTGGAATTACTTTTTAATATTCTATATTTATTTGGAATGATTTCCAGTGAATTTGGTTCAGTAGATTTTCTGCGAAGTCAAAACTCTGACACGTAATGACAAAAAAATTAACTGACATTAGGTCAATGTAATCTGATCACATATGACATTTTGTCTAATGCCTTCTGTGGTTGTAGATGTATTGCATTATAAAATGCCCTATTTGATATTTAGAAAAATGTCCACTGCAAAGAAGGGAGGGGGGGGGAGGGGAGAGAGCATGACAATTGTTGACAGTTTAAACAAGTGCATAAAATATTGAAAAGTCAATGCTTCATATATTTCATAGAATAATTAGACAATTACCTTGATAAGGTCCCTTGTTACAGGTGACGCAGGACCAGCACTTCCTCAACTATAAGGCATTTGGAATTATAAGTGTTCACTTATGTTGGATTCATCAATCAGTTACTAATGTTACATTCATAATCAGTTACTAATGTTATATTCATAATCAGTTACTAATGTTATATTCATAATCAGTTACTAATGCTATATTCATAATCAGTTACTAATGCTATATTCATAATCAGTTACTAACATCACATTCATCAATCAGTTACTAATGCTATATTCATAATCAGTTACTAATACTATATTCATAATCAGTTACTAATGTTATATTCATTTTCAGTTACTAATGTTATATTCATTTTCAGTTACTAATGTTATATTCATAATCAGTTACTAATGCTATATTCATAATCAGTTACTAATGCTATATTCATAATCAGTTACTAATGTTACATTCATCAATCAGTGACTAATGCTATATTCATAATCAGTTACTAATGTTGCATTCATCAGCGAGTGATACAGATAAACCATGGAGTCACCAATCATATGATGATTTTGGGACTTGATCTTATGTCAAAAATAACAAATCCTCATTAAATTATAATTTTCCTATTCTCTCATTCCATCATTTGATTTTTTTTGCTTGAGCGGTTTGTATACCTTGGACTTTCATTGACATTGAGAAAACAACTTTTTTTTGGTAATGAAGGGTGGGACTGCATTCAGGTTAGCATAAATGAGTAAAACAAAGTATGGTCAAACCTGAAAAAAGGAACGCAACAAAACAAAGAACGTGTCAGCAAGAATTCTTTTGCTGCCCTCTCGGATGCTACTTATCAGCTAAGTGTTACTTTTTAATTTAATTCTGTTTTTTCTGTTGTTTGTTCGCTGACAAGGGCTTCCTGTCGACACGTTCGTTGTTTTTTTGCGTTCCTTTTTCAGGTTTGCCCATACTTTGTTTTACTCATTTCTTTTTTTTTTTCGGTAAGCCGTAAAAATCACAAAATTAAAATGGTGTGAATTCCAATGAATCAGCCAGTTTTTGTTGGTTTTGCTAGTTAAAAAATGGCTGATAAACAATCTGCAAGAGAAATTTCATTCTAATAACATACTTCGCAATGGTGAAATCGTTATTTCATTCACTTAGTTTTATCTTCCACCTTAACTTGGATGGTATATCAAAAAAATATTTTTTTTCAATACTGATATAAAAAGAGCTACACATTTAAAAACTCATAAAACAGTGACTATGACTTACTGTGCTCTCGCACCACAAACACTTCATGAGGGTCCAGTCAACCAGTACAATGATGGGGTTGTTCTTCTCAAGGTGTTTTATGAGGTCATCAATGGTGAGGTATCTGTGATGGTGATAACAACATGATGTTATTTGATTGTTTGAGCCGTTAAGAGGCTTCTCAAAAAGAATATGATGGTAATTGTTATAGGTCTAAGTTTGTTTTTTCCACCATATCCGGTGTGAGGCAGTGACGTTTGTGTGTGGATTAATTTTTACGCCTTTTTAGTTTTATACTTTTGCACTAGCTGTGCTGTAAGTTAAGATAGTTTTTACATCTCTAGATTTGAATTTGTATTTTTATATCAACTTAATAGTATCATTAAATTGATTATTGTTAAAATCGCTAGCTTTGGCGTCTTATTTTCCTTGTATGTTTGTTTTCAGTCCTTTGCTAGGCATTGTTCATCTGACCAGCCAAATTTTAGAACAACTTAATAAATTTGCTAAATCTTATAACAGCTCCTAACAGTAATCTTTGAACAGCTATCAGGTAATAACATTTTGTAAAGTTTGGATGAATCCAAGATAGGTTGTCCAATGAGAGGTTTGTTATTTATTGCCAGTTAGGCTATTCAGAGTCATAATGTTGTTAAATATTGCCTTCTGATCTTTTAAAAAATATGGAAACAAGTGCATAATGCAGAGAAAATTTTCTAAGACTATTTTTCCCTTACCATCTCAGAACCTGCACTCTCTGACCCCCTCGCCCCATAACGATCCCTAACCATCTCAGAACCTGCACTCTCTGACCCCCTCTGCCCTTAACAACCTCTTACATTTCAGCACCTGCACTCTCCGACCCCCTCGCCCAATAACGATCCCTAACCATCTCAGCACCTGCACTCTCTGACCCCCTCGCCCCATAACGATCCCTTACCATTTCAGAACTTGCACTCTCTGACCCTCTCGGCCATTAACAACCTCATACCTTTCAGCACCTGCACTCTCCCACCTCATCGCCCCATAACGATCCCTTACCATCTCAGCACCTGCACTCTCTGACCCTCAGTCCCAATAACCCTCTACCCCACCATCTCAGTGACTTAAAAAGTCTATTTCTTGATTTAGCATTGAGAAATGCTCCAAAAGAGTACACAAAAAATATTCTTTCTTACTTCTAGTTATTTAATGCACAAGGCTTTAAAAAAAAAAAAAAAACCTGGACAAAATATATTAAGACCTTAATGACCAAAAAATTGAACCCTACTAAATTTTTTCTTTGAACTTAACATTTTTTTAAGCACATTTTAGATGATTTTAAATTTAAGTGTATTGTTGACTGTCAGGTCTACTGCAATTTTTATTAGACAGCTGACATTGTAATCTACTGCCGTGATCTGGTTCCATATAATCTTGTACACATAGCCAGAATATTCTGCAGCTAAGTTCTAGGTCAAACATGTCCAAATTAAATTATTGTATTTTGATCTGTTTTGCCTGGTCTGGCCAAAACGTCCTTTTAATTGTGCTATCTTTTCATTTCAAACCTAAAAATATTAGGTTCCACAATTTCCTGAATTTTCCTCCAGAGACGTGGATGTTCTGGTTTCTTATCATAAGCAAATAAATGTCAATCTCACTAGAGCTGGTGTCACAGATAGCCCATGAAGCGATCAACTATATTCCCCACTAAAGCTGGTGTAACAGATGGCCCATGAAGTGATTAACTATATTCCCCACCAAAGCTGGTGTCACAGATGGCCCATGAAGTGATTAACTATATTCCCCACTAAAGCTGGTGTCACAGATGGCCCATGAAGTGATTAACTATATTCCCCACCAAAGCTGGTGTCACAGATGGCCCATGAAGTGATTAACTATATTCCCCACTAGAGCTGGTGTCACAGATAGCCCATGAAGTGATTAACTATATTCCCCACTAAAGCTGGTGTCACAGATAGCCCATGAAGTGATTAACTATATTACCCACTAAAGCTGGTGTCACAGATGGCCCATGAAGTGATTAACTATATTCCCCATTAAAGCTGGTGTCACATATGGCCCATGAAGTGATTAACTATATTCCCCACCAAAGCTGGTGTCACAGATGGCCCATGAAGTGATTAACTATATTCCCCACTAAAGCTGGTGTCACAGATGGCCCATGAAGTGATTAACTATATTCCCAACATTTTTTCAATGATAATTTTCATTTTAACAAAATACTGAAAGACAAGTCTCAATGGGTGACATTTCTTAGACAATATGAATAAGAAGAAATCATCTTATTATATACACACTCACATGTACATACATTAAATATCTTTAATATGCTACCCACCTTTTTTGAACTAATACACCATGCTGATGTGCATTCTCAAACATACTTTTAACTCTCAATTCATCAATTGAGAAATTTTTCCTGTAGAATGACTGGAATAAGAGTAATTTAATGTCAGGGAACATGATAAAAACAAAAAAATTTAAATATAAATTGGATAACATAAATGAAGTCCTAACAAAAAAATAATTAATTTTAAAAACACACAAACAAATCATGTCATTTAACTGAACTTATCACATCATTGTGACTGTACTTTATGTCACTAAAATCATCATAAATACAAAAGTATGTCAAAAAAGAATTAAAAAAAAACACCAATAATTGATTAAATGAAATTAACTCGAATTTGAAGATAATGTATAAAAAGAAAACTTAAAATGTGCATAAAGATGTTTTTATTTAAATTCATGAAAATTACCTTCTTACTGTGGTCAGTGTTGACACCAAGAGTGATGGTGTAAAGACATGATCCCACATTGTGCCGATTTAAAATATAAGCTAAATCAATAGTCCAAATACTGTAAGGAAAATTGATTGGAAATTAAGACAAAAGAATAATTAATTTAGATTTCAAGAAACTGTACATCAGTCAGATCTTTCAAAAATGTCCATCAAAATTGTGCATCTATCTTTACCTTTCTCCACACTGCAGTGAATCAAGGTCCTTGGTGTATACATCATCACAAGGCTCATTAAACATTCTGACATACAGAGAAAAGAAAATTAATTCAGATTTTAAACATTTAAATAAACCAAATTATAGATAGCAATGCAGGATTGGAATTTATTAAAAACTAAAGAAGATTTTTACAAACTATTCAGCATGGCTTTCTCAAAAAAATCTATTCACAATTGTTACTATTTTGTAATAGATGTTTATAGCTGCAATAGTGTGTAATTTCATATTTAACTATGCATATTTTTAATTATGATAAAAATGATACGAGATAAACATCATGAGAATTCAAAATTTATATCAGATTAAAAAAAAAAAATTAATACATAATTTCAGTCATCATTATAAAAATTGTTTATTGCTGCCAATGGCATACCAGAACACCAGAATGAACATCAACCATGTTGACCATGGAGTCATTTTAAAAACAGTATCTGACTGCAAACCTGAGAATCATGGACACACATGCCAAGCCACAGTCCCATGAGTAGCATTGATTGACAAATGGAACTGACACCACATGCTTCTCCTTCTGGTCTAAAACAAATACTTCTTGATCTCCTCCTAACAGAAAAGCAAATAATTGTTAACAAAATTAACTCCGCTTCATAAATTGTATAAGTAAAAAAGAAAGAAATTTATATTCTAAAATGTATGATATTCACCAAGTGAAAGGTTGAGGAGTCAAAAATTGTTGATGATGTATTATGGGGGTCTACGTTCTGTGATGAATTCGTGATGATTGGGGGAGGTTAAAAAATTGGACAAAATAGTATGATGTCATATATGGATGGCCTCTTAGGTGACCTTGACAGATAAAAAGCTCAAATATAACAACTTTGATATGCATTTTTCAAAACACAAACATTATCTGAAAAACTGCTAACTTTCATAATAATAACATTTTGTCCAATTATTTCTTCCCTTCAATCTATTTTCATATACCAGTTTAAAAAATGAATAATGGTCTTAGGCAGTGGTTGGTCAAACCATGGTACATGATGATGAAACAAAGTTCTTCCAACGTAAAATAACAATTTACAAACTAGAAGGATTGATATGAAAACAATCTTTTGATAAATGGTAATGCATTGAGCAATTTCTTACCCTAACATCTTTATGTATCCTTGTCTTACCAATTGTTTTCTTAAATACATTCAATATTTTTGTTTAAATGTCACCAGGCATACTCTATCTTATTGTCTCAGTTAATTAATATAATTGGATACATTAGACATAGCCCTAAAAAAAAATATTTTTTTTCTTTCTTGTATTTTTAAAAATAATAAATCATTGGGCCTTAGCCTAGCCTAAACAGTACTACTTCATACAAAATGTAAAGAACATGTCATGATACTGAAATCCAAACAATACACAAAACCTAATTCACGTTAATGGTCTCAGTTGAATTAAGTTGCAATACATGAATCACTGATGTTATGATTATTAATAATATTATGAATAAAAAATATATTAAAAAACCTTACTGCAGTCCATACTTACATTACTTAACTCATTGAATAATAAATTATGTTAAGGAGAGTACATCTCACCCTGCCATCTGCCATTTTAATTAAAAACTTTATTTTAATTAGTCATAGTCGGATGTCTTTTGCGGTAGTTTATTTTAGTTGAACTGAAGAATTAAGTTTACAAACATATATTACATTCAATTATCTTTCATTCTATACCAAATTTTATCTTACAAACCCAACAATAATATTTTAAACATTTTTTAATCACAACCTCTCACTTTCGGTAGCCGGGTCCGAATAGCCACTTTGATTATTTTAATTAAAACTGTGCGGAAGGTTTATATTATTAATAAGCCTGATTATAATTAAGCTTTAAAATATATATAAATATAGCAAATCCTTCTTTTCTGTATTTCTACTTGTCATCTAACCCTCGCTATACTATATTCGAGATATTATTGTCACTGTCATTACTAGGCCTATAGGAAATATACTCATATAGGCCTATTATTAATATAATTATATATGTCCATATAATTATTATAAGTAGTATACTATAATATAAGTATAAGTTATAAGCCTACACTGCTAAAAAAGCTATTAACTATCACTCACAATGGGCAGTATTGTTATAGGCCATGTACTGAATATTGCCTATATTAATTAAACTCAGTAAACTTTCTTTAGGCTTTCATTCGGCTTTCGACTTTCATTCACTTTAATCTTTAACTTTAGTTTAGAAATATTAATAAGATGGAAACCGAAAATACCTTCGAATTCTTGCCGCAGAGAAGTGAACTCAAATTTATGAGTGTTCATGTTCTTCTCTCATCTTTCGTAAAACTGCAGAGAATCCAGGCTAAGAATAACACAGGTCTAACACGATTTAAGTTAAGGACGCAATACTATTAGGGTACAGTCATTTCTCAAAGTTGCATTACTTATGGCACTTATGCCATGATTTGTTCTGTTTGTTGACGTATTTACAATTTCATTTCCATTTGTTTACTACTGAATTAACGGAAGTGACGTAAATGCCAGTTTTTTTCCCCTCTCTTGCGTATGTATAATCGGTGGCAATCATAGACATAGAGATATATATCTATAGCTCTGTGGTGGCAATAATCGATTTCTTCAACATTTTGCGTTATTTTGCACTGTGCATTATAGTTTATATTAGCTCTTCAATTTAAAAAGAAATTAATAAATATTAAAATAATAATAAGGACAAAAAGTGGCCGTCCATAAAGTACGTCACGCTATTTTTTTTTTAAAAAGTTTTATTCCCCTCCCTCCCCCTATTCATAAACAGTCACAAATGTCAGGACCCCCCAACCCTCTGATTTTGTGTAATCTTTGATATTAATTAACTTCGCTTTTGTTCATGGGTGGCTGGCTGGCAAAATCTTCGGGCAGCTAATTGACCCACTTTCCGTCAACCCATCGAGCTGATGACAACACATCCTATGAAGTTTTTAGTCTCCCCCCCCCCCAACCCCAACCCACAAAAATAAGTTTTTCCTGTTTTACAAGTGGAACTTGGAGGAAATATGATATCGTGAAAAAATCCCCAATAACTACGCAAAATCAGATTCCATTTTTTTTTATCGCAAATAGTGTTTGGCAATAGTAAAGGTGTTTATGGTTAAATGTTTTATATATATTTTTTTTTTCTTTTCAAATTTCCTTCGGAAAGTGTGTTGTTAATTAAACAAAACTTAAAAACAAAGTTTTTCGTTCAATTCTTTTATAAAATGCTATACCGAGAAATGACGGGGAGGGTGGGGGTGGTGAGAATTTGACAAACATGCATTCAACTCACTCACTTCATAAGAAGCGCAATTAGTGCACCCGCACATTTTTTCCCGTTCATTAACTATATTCATATTTCTAATGACCCACCCGCTTTAACGCCGCAGATTTGTTTCACCAACTATTTCCGTGCAACGCATTGTGGCCTGCGGCTGCCATTCAGAGGCGCAGCGAGGGTGTTTGGCGCCCGGGGACACGATTCGCGCCCGGGGACAAGATCCATTTTAAAGCGCCCCCTTTTCTTTTTTTCAACTCTCAAACCCATTATTTTTACCAATAATATAATATCAAAGCACATTTTGGCAACTCTAACTAGCTTTCGCCCGGGGACATCTGTCCCCCTGCCCTTCCCTCGCTACGCCTCTGCCTTAATTATTTGGCGGGTTAAAGTTATTATATATCGATTTTTAAAAGTATATTTTCCTCTTTTTGAAGGGGGAAAATTTGATTATTTTTTGTAAAATTTATAATACAATTAATTTATTATTAAAAAAGCTTTGTAAGGCATTTAAAATTGTCAAAGTAGAATAAGAACTCTTTAAAAATCTAATCCATTTTTAGAATAAAGAAAAAAGTTACCAATAATATTTTAAATTTTTTAGCTGTCATAAATTAAAATATTGTTCTATTTGTTCATCTTTCTTTTTAGATAGCGTTTCTTTTCTGAGAAATTTAAGTATAAACTTGTTTCCCTTTTTAAAAAAAAAATCAGTTGTTGTGTCCCTTTGTTAGATTTGACTTTCAATCTACCTTATGGAATAGAATAATTCAATGGATCTTTTGGAATAATAATTTTTTTTTTTTTCAAAGTGTCTTTACAAATGTGCCTTTTTATAATGTTGTCCCTCTATTTTTAAATTTGAAATATCTGCGTAAATAAAAATTGGATGACTGAAACTTTTTAATTAAAACTTTAACGGTGATTGAATTTATAATTTATAATTTTTTTTTTACTTCTCATCAAGCCATTTTTATTTATTTTTTTACATTTCTTGTTTGGTGTTTTATGCTACATTTATAGCAATTAATTAACACAAGCTTAATCCAAGAATCAAGGTTCATGCAAATAGTCTAACATCTTTCAACGTTTTTTCTTAGCTTGGAAAAAGTTGACAAAGTGGGTCTACATAAAGTAGAGCTGTCTGATGATGCTTTTTAACTTCAAACAGATTCAGATGACAAACAGTTAAGATAATTTTTGCAATTAGCTTTATTTTGTTTAAAAGGGTGGCAAGAACTTTAAATTTAGGCGTGTTCTTAAACAAAAGTTGAGCGTATGTGGAGCTACATTTAGTATGATAATACAGCGGGTCTACTACATAATTGGTATACGAAATAGTGATGCATTAAATTAAAGCCTATTTTATGCCAAATTATACGAAATTGAAATCAATAATTATAGTTTTTAAATCCCACTAGAAATTTCATCATTGTTTCAACACACGTAAATAATTTTGGGAATTTTTTTTTAAATTTTCGACGAAGACAACGTTTATCAGCATGATAGTGATAATTTTAAAATCCCCCCCTCCCCCCAATATTCCCTCTAAGGTTTGCTGGTTCATGTGCAAAATCATACAGCTATGTGCAAAGTTTTACAACATCATTTTTTTAATTATTTTTTTTTGCGTGCAAGATTTTAAAGCCCACAAACACAAACACACACTTAAATGGAAATTTGCTTCGCGGATACTCGATACTGCTTCGCGGCGTCAGTGAGTGAGCTGCATTGGCCCCCCCCCCCTCCCTCACCTTTTTTCTTCGCCCGCAGCCTTGTATTCGTAACTCAAATTAAGTTTACGTTCTTGAATATTATCTCTATTTTTGGGGCTGAAAATTTGAAAGCATATGCTGTCATCGGCAACGAGTCTATAGGATAAGTTTCAGCTTGATAGTTTGACAGAAAGTGGGTCATTTAGCCGTCCGGAGATTTTGCAAGCCAGCCAGCCACGAAATGTAGCGAGGCTAACATGTAAAAACACACACACAATGTTCATAATTTCGAAATGTTTCATATTATTTACGCATGGGTATTTTTTAAAAAAATCCTGAGAGAAATGTTAAGACTAAAAGTCATGTTTAAAGACATGAAAATGGGAACTATCAGTCATGTTAAATACTAAATTTGGTTTATAATTTATTCATTCTAAACCACGTATGGCCGACCCACGCTCGAAGTTTTTTTTCTTTCTTCACTCACTTGCGCTATTTTCATTCTTGCTATCAACTCAGCACTGTTCAAATTTATGAATTAAATTTGTACAGTGCTTTTTTGTACTGGCAACTTTTTTTTTTATAAGTCACAATTTGAAAATAATTTTAAAATTATTTATTTTAAATGTTTAATAAAACTTTATTAAAAGTTTAAAAAAAAAACTGTTTCATTTAGTAACTACTTAACATAAATGATTTGCAAAATAAACACAACCAGGTCAAAGAACATCAACATTCTCACGAACATTTCTTCTGTTTATCTCCGATTAAGTGTAGAATGGTGCTAAACTAAATTCAAATATACACCAAAATGCATCGAAGCATTTACGTATTTAGATTTTAACACGGATCTTCTGGGGATGTGCGTATGTGATTTCCTGTATTTGAAGTGCATTAGATGCACTAAATTTGTCAAGGTAGGCCTACATATTTCGTGTGTAAAGCTAATAAAAAGAATGATATCAATCCTCTTTTTATGTTTTAGGAATTTAGTTATGTATAGATTTTTTAAAAATCCATATCTCTTCCTGAAACATTTCCTCAGTTAATGCCCTAGGTGGCTACACTAAAACACTCTTTTAAAAATAGATTCGAAACGACTTTATAATAGATTGGAATTAAACGTTTAAAATAAATATTTATTAAAATGACAAGTCCGAGATAATTAAAAGGTTTGACAAAATTCTAATTTATTGTATTGCAGGTATATCACAGACAGGGACGATTTAAAAAAAACAAGAAAAAAAGAAAAAAAAACATGGAGCTCATTTTTCAATAATTGTGGTGAATCTTGAGCAGGTAAAATTAATAAATGCATAATGAAGATTTGCGAATAAAAAGTAATTTTGCAACGAATACAAAAAAAACTTTTTTTTTTTTTTTTTTTTTTGCTTTATTTCTTCATTACAATTTCATTTATGTAATAANAAAAAAAAAAAAAAAAAAAAAAAAAAAAAAAAAAAAAAAAAACTATCCCCTGCTCCCCCCCCCCCAAGCCCCAGGTGGCCCACTTTTAATGTCAAAGAACATATGAAAAATAATCCATGCTTGGATTTAATCGGTTTTTGGTTTAGGGCTTCGGCAAGTTTTATCAAGTGACGATAGACTAACTCTTCTTAAACTGTGTTTTGTTTTATCGGTTGTCTCCCATGGGTTGTTAACACAAAATACATCTAAATAAAATTTAAAAAAAACAACAAAAAAAACAGGTTCTTTAAATAAATTTTCTTTGCTTAGTGTTAATAAAGTGTAACTAATGGAGAAAATAAATTATTTTGATGTCCTCTGATAGCATTAAAGGAATATTTTTTTAGACCCTAGAATAATGTAAAGCAATCTCATATTTAGCGTGCACATACACTGGTAAATGTGCACACAAATACATACAAACACAATGACGAATATCCCAACTCCATGGGAACACATACACGTTCTCTTAAAAAGACCAAACATAAGTTTGTAATGCAAACATATACAAATAACGTCATACAAACCCCCCCCCCACAGAAAATGAGTCATACAAACACATAAATTACACCCTCGCCATGTTTGTCAAACAAATCCATTCAAATGACGTCATTCAAAACAGATTCAAACGACATTATCAGTTTGTTATATAAACATCCACAAACGGCATACTCAGTTTGTCACACAAACATCCACAAATGACATACTCAGTTTGTTACACAAACATACAGCAAATGACAGTAAACAATAATTTCGGGCATAAGTTAAAAATTATATACAACGTGCCAAAATGAAGGTGAGTATGTAGAACATGTTGTAAACATATGTATAATAAAATGGGAAAGTAACTGGGAAAAGGCAGGTTTATGTGTAAACAAAGTTTTGCGGAAGACAAATTCCATAGATGTTATAGATGGCCGACCAAATGATGAGTTTCATTGGTAACAATGTATTAAAACATACTGATCAATAAGAAAGGAAGAAAGGAAGGTTGAACGAAGACGTCACACACGTGTCAGACATCAACAAGGTTAAATGCTGTAAAAATGTGAACACGTGAAAATATGACGTCACACACGCGTCGTACATCAAAAAAAAATAATATTTAAATGCTGTAAAAAATGTGAACAAGTTTAAAAGATGACGTCAATAACGCCCGCTACATCAACAAGGTTAAATGCTGTAAAAAAATGGTGGACAAGAAGAGAGCAACAGGCTGAGAACATTATGTACAGGATGTCATGTAGACAAACGGGACTCTCTGACCTTATACAGCAGCCAGGCGAATTTAATAACATCCATGGTACTGCCAACTTTATTTTAAGTAAAAACGGAAGACAGAATGTTTGAATTAAGAGCGTCCTTATCATAACTTTTATTTATTTATTTATTTTTTTTTTTGATAATTTTTGTTTTCCTCGTTTCTACATGCTGTACAGTAGTTTAATATCTTTTTATTTCTTCAACACCTGATATAATCTATTCGAGTCTTCAATATTTTTTAAACACTTCATGAATGTATTCGCTTGTCATTGACTGCCTGGCAAGGTAATCGTGTTAGAGGAGTGATGCATAGAATCAAATACGTCATTCCCCCCCCCCCACATATTGATCAATGAGATGTTAAAATGACCAAGCTTGAGAATAGAAAATTAACGTCAGCTATTTGATATCCAATCTTCATTTCACTGTTCTATTTGATCAATGACCTAATACATACGTACACATATTTAGCGGGGCCTGAGAGACTTTAAAGGGGTACTGAAAGTCTTTATGGTGGCCTGAAAGTCTTTCTTTCTGAATGCAACTTTATGGTGGCCTGAAAAAAGTCTTTCTTTCCGAAAGCAACTTTATGAGGGTCTGAAAAGGTCTTTTAAGGGTCTGAAAGCAACTTTATGGGGCCTGAAAAAGTCTTTCTGAGGGTCTAAAATCAATTTGATGGAGGTCTGAAAAGTCTTTCTGAGGGTCTAAAATCAACTTGATGGAGGCCTGAAAGAGTCTGGGGATTATTTGAAAGACTTGTAGGTTTTGAGGTGCTTCTATTGATTATGGATATTTTTTAAAACTTTTTTTTTTATCAGAAACCATAACTTGCCAGTACAGGTTCCAGGAACTAAGTTTTGAACTCTATTTGTGCCATAGAAAAAATTCTCAAAATTATTTAAATATTTGCAAACTGATCCATTTTAAAATATAAAATTAATTTGGAATTTGAATTTTTTTTTACCGCTATGATTAGCAGACTCTCTCTCTTTGTTACTAGCTGAACAATTTCGAGTACTTACGGCAGAATTAACTCACTAGACCTTCATAGTTACGCTATAAGCCTGAGAGTTATCAAAAAATAGTTATTTCACATAACATTCAAATAAAGCTCTAGCGCACTGCGTTTAAGTAAATTTACAGCACATTGCAATCGAGTAAATCAACAGCGAATTTCAGTCAAATGAAGTGATTTCACATTTAAGTGAAATCTTTACAGCACATGGCATTCCAATAAAGTTTTGCACTTTGCAATCAAATGAAAGAATTGCGCATTGCAATGAAATTTTTATAGCACATGACAATAAAATAAGGTTATAGTCATTGCAATCAAACTGTGTTATTGCACAATGCAATCAAATTAATGCATAGAGCACTGAAATTACATAACTTTTTTTCCAGATTAAAATCAATTTCATTTATTGCACAAGACAATGAAATAAGTCAAAGTACACTGCCCAAACACCTTGCCCACCCCCACTCGGTCTCACACCATGACAATATGTTTACAATGGAAGGTAGAACTACTTAAAAATATCTGATTTTATGTTTTAAGATGTCAACATTACTCTTTTTTTAAAGTAATACGAAGAAGTCAGGGATGGTAGGTAGGTGAGTAGAAATCGAGGGCGCTGAAGGTTTCCGAGCAAAAGGCGGGGGTTCTATGCCTAAACAGTTAACGGGTTATTTATAGTTTATATATATATATATATATATATATATATATATATATATATATATATATATATAAGCTAGAAAAACACANCAGAAAAAAACACTTGAACATTATTACACTAAATATCGCAAGCACGGAAACGTATATATATTTTTTTATTTATTTATTTTAACAATTTTTTTTTTTTTTTTTTGCGTCAAACGAAAAAGTGCGAACATTAAGAAAAGGAAAGTGGGCCTTTTCGATTGATTTTCTAATATCAATAGAAATTTAGCCTCCAGAGTGTCTCGAAAGACCCGGTAAAGAATAAAAGTAATCCCAAAACTTTCGTGGGACCTGTGACGTTTTGTTGAATAATCGCATGTAAACAGATACTTTGATTCTTTGATTTACACTACTTTGCAAACTACAAGAAGGTGACCCCGATCGAAAAACCATGATTTGGGATTGGGGCTGTTGGGGGGGGGGTTTAAGGTAAAAGAAATGGAGGGCGCTGAAGCTCCCGAGCTAAAGGAGGGAAGTTGTCTGGGCAGTGGGGTGGGGGGGGCAGCCTCTATTGTTCTGTGCCTTCGTGGTTTTTCCACGTGTTATTTCTAGTTATAATAATAATAATAATTAACTAGAGCGATGGTGATAGAATGTAGATCAGAGTGTTAACCAAAGGCCACAAGCTGTAATTAAGGCAGATTTATTCTTGAACTTATGAACATATGCATAGCGTAGATCGATTGCCCTTTGGGGTATCCAAAAATCACATTCACATTTCAGGGAACTTCTACGTGATTTACATTAATTTTACCTTCTAGATATATTTTATATTCATATAATTTCTTCTGGAACCTTTATGGTTAGTTTGGCACACCAAAGGAGAAAAATTAACTAGATGCAGAAAACTCAGGATAATAAAGGTCTCAAACAATAAATACCCTATGATTGGAGCTTTGTCATAAACACTGACTCCACCAAAGCCCAACAAATTTAAAAAAAAATGATTGAATCTTAAGATCTCCTAATCCTGTAATATAGGCCAAAACGTGCCAAAGTGTCCTCGTTTTATAGCTATTTTAATTTTTTCTATAGTATAGTAGTTACTATCCTAATGTCTCATTTTTATTTTAGTTAGTTTACATGTTTTTTAATAATTGTAAAGCGCTTAGAGCTTTAAGGTAAGCGCTTTATAAAAATGCCTAAATAAATAAATAAATAATGCATTAAAATAATCTAAAGCAATTTTGTACAATATTCTATGATCACATTATCAAAGATGGGTAAGCTTATCTGACAAGAACGAGGTGAGTTGTAACAATTGTTAGTATTAAAAATATATATATAAATTTGGGGCAAGCTTTGCTGTCCAGAGTTCTTTCCTTTGACCCCAAAGATTAAAGCTAAACAGAAATTAGTGACGTAATATTACATTGGAGCTTGAGTGTCCCCATAGTTTTCCCTGCCAATATTATACAAGATTTAAAATACTGGCACATCAACAATCCAAGTTCAGCATTTTCAATTTCTATGATTTTCAACATGATAAAGTAATAAACAACATCATTTCAAATATTTACAAGAAAACGAATGTTAGTTAAAATCTTATAAAACTCTGTTTGTAAGGAGGATTTTTAAAAAAAAAATGTCTTCCCAATAATTTAAAGTTGAATACATTGCCCTATCACGTTATCTGCTGACCTTCCAGAAGTATGACCGTGGCTGGGTGAGCCAGAGACGCCATCGGCGGCACGCGCTCCTTGAGCTCCATCGCAGAGTAGCAAACTTGCGGCTCGCCGACTCCCACAAGGCCGGCGGCGTTCAGTTCTGACGGTGAAGCGGCTTCCGTTTCGGAGATGTTGCTGAGGAACGTGTACGACTTGCCGTTCCTGGTCGTTGTATGGTGGAGAATCGGAACAGCGGGGATGGCCGCCGCGGCGGTGATCGCCCCTTCGATGTCCAGCACGCTCCTGCTCCTGGCCAGGTCGCTGTCCTCCTCGTCCTTGACCCTTTCCATCTCCCTGTCCTTCCGCGCCAGCCCGTACTGCACGTGCGTGTAGTAGAGGACGAAGTTACTGACGATGATGGGCACCGTGAAGGCGATCATCAGCAGCCCAGCGACGGCGCAGCACGAGCCTATGAAATACCCGGCGGCGGACTGCGGGTACATGTCGCCGTAGCCCACGGTCGTCATGGTGACCACGCTCCACCAGAACCCCACGGGGATGTTGGTGAATATGCCGGTGGGCTCGACAAAGTGGATGAGAGTGGCGAAGACGACCATGCCGATGAGCAGGAACACGCACATGAGCATCAATTCGTTGAAGCTCGCTTTGAGGGTGTAGAGTAAAATCCACAATCCGGGCACGTGGCGGATGAGTCTGAAAATCCGAAACAGACGCAGTATCCTCAGAATGAACAGCATTTCCATGATCGCCATGCCCTCGTTCTGGATGGGATCGATGATGAGGAAGACGAGCTCCACGTAGTCGGGGGCGAAGGCCAGGAAGTCGACGATGTTCTGCAGCGCACGCAGGAAGTTGAGCTTGCTGGGCGAGCAGACGAACCTCGTCAGGTACTCCAGGCTGAAGAAAATCAAGCAGCTGATGTCCATCATGAGCAGGGCCGGGTGGGGCAAATCTTTATTGCCCCAGTCGTCCTTGCCCTCGGGTTTGTCCTCGGCGATCTCGTAATGATGAAGGTTGTCGTTGCAGCACCGCCGGACGCACCTTTTCTGTATCCCGACCCGCCCGTGCAGGGCGTTGCTGCCGTCGCTGCCCATCCTGTCAATCCTGTCACTGTCGACGCCGTCATCGAAGCCTCTGTCTCCACTGGTCACATCCCCACTACCGTCGCTAGTCACTGCGTTGTAGGATGTCGAGTTGGCGCCAGCGTCGGTGCCGTTGGCCAGTGGGTGTGTGGCGTTGGGCGGGGCGGGCGAACCGTGGTCATTGAGCTCTTCTATCACCTTCGGCCACTGGATGTTCTCAAGGTTCAGAAATTCGTAGAACGACGCGAAGTGGGTCATGTCCTTGGCCTTGACCTTGAAGACCGGATGGGTCTCGGCGCAAAAAGAGAAGATGGAAACGAAGACGAAGATGATAGAGACCCAGGCGTAGACCTGTGGGAAAATACAGAAACAAAAAGATTATATAGAGCAAAACAAATATGGATTTATAACACGTGTTGATTCAGTTAATACTAAACAGCACTACGTCAGAGAACACGTGGTTTTGGGGTTAGGCGAACGTAAGTGATACCAAAAATGTATAGCATTTTAAAAATGAACAGAAAAATTATCGAAGATGGTTTTTTTTTTTTTTTGTTGTTGTTGTAATCTTTTTCATGTTCTTATAGATTGGTATATTTTGTTTTTACTTCAGTGAAAATTGACTCCAGTGATAGAAACAATGTAGACGAATAGGAAACTGGTAGATTGGTATATTATGTTTATACTTCAGTGAAAATTGACTCCAGTGATAGAAACAATGTAGACGAATAGGAAACTGGTTGAACCCCGTCCCTTGTTTTTAGTTGCCCCCCCCCCTTATTTGAACCTAAGCCCGCAACCCCCCCCCCCTTCCCCTGAACCCCACTTAACCACTGTCTGGTTGCCCTTCTTGAACAGCTGCTCACAGATTCATTAGATTATGGTTAGTTGATTCAGCAGCATAGGACGACTACTTGGTTGGCTAACTGCTCTTAAACAGCATACCACCCCCCCCCACCCCCACCAAAATGATGGTTGGCGGACCGACGCCGGTCCGTGAGCCTTACCTTGCCGGTCCGCACAACATAAATATGTTTGGTCAGATAAAAAGGACAATAAATTTAATGAATCTATAGCCGGTCCCTGGTGCAATGTCGAAACTTGTCTGCCAGTCCACCAAATTAAAAAAAGTTTGGTATACGCTGCCCTACACCAAATCTTCATAATCATGATTATCAAATCAAATATGATCCAGCAATAAATACCAAATAGGAAAGTTTCCTTTGAAAAGGGTGAACTTTTTTTTATAATTTATTTTTTAAGATAATTTGATTCGAATATTCTTTTAAGTTGCTTAGTTTGTGAAATGAAACCAGTCTCAAAAGGGAGACGTGATTGTGTGCGCGTGTGCGTGCGTGTGTGTTCGTGTGTGTGTGTGAGGAGGTGGGAGGATTTGATCGTAAATCGACTCCAATTAAGGGTGGCAACAACTGAATTCCAAATTATTTCCATTTGTGGATACCGCCCGTAAAATGACTTCTCCTTTTTTTTTTATAAATTTTATCAATGAGCTTTTTCCTCCTTTAACTCAAGTCATCCATATTTTTTCAGCTATGCTTATCTTTAGACATCCATATTTAGCAATAATCTAAAATTGTAGCAATCCAAATTTGAAGTAATCCACATTTGCATTGAAACACATTTATTTATGATTTACCCTCAATGCTGCCCCCACCCCCCACCCCAATATTCTCTCCATGTCTTCCCAGGTCTGTTGTCTTCACTTGGCAACACCATCAACGACCATCTGAAATGCAAATAGCGTTGGAGCCTATCTAAAGTAACAAAAAAAAAAGAGATTGGTCGGGGAAAAAAAGATAAAAGAATAACCAGGAGAATGTAGCCATACGCTGGAACTCCGGCATTGTACACTGAGGGAAGGTTGAATGGTGCTGTTGTGAGCTTCCATCCTGTTGTGCAATGGGAGGTTTGATAATGATGATGTGTAAGTGTTACAATGGGAGATGTGATACTGATGATGCATAGTGCTGTAATGGGTGATGTGATACTGGCGATTTATAATGTATAGAGTTACTATGGGAGATATGATAATAATGGTGTATATAATATTGATATTACACGTTGTCATCGGCAACGAGTTTATGTGCCAGTTTCTGCTCGATAGGTTGACGGGAAGTGGGTCAGTAAGCCGTCCGAAAATATTTTTTTTTTGCCACCCATCCAGCCACAAATAAAAGCGAAGTAATTATAAAGGATTGAGAAAGGGTTAACAGCCAATATTACAGTTCAATTAAAAGAAAGATCCTAAAACGCACAAAACAATATTCAAATTTTCACAAGATATTTTAAGTAGTAGAGTCACTATGGGGTGCAGGGCCGTCTTAACAATATAGGAGACCCAGTTCAAACGTTTTTGTCCCATTGTACTGCGAAGCTGATTCTTACTTTTTTTTTCGATTCTTATTGGGGGAAGTAAAACTTGTTTACAAGAGATATTCCCCTTTAAAAGTTTTTAAATTGTCCAACTTTGATTCGTATTTATCAACATTAATTTTGGAATGTACTGATACATAACGTGTGTTAAAATTGGGAATTTTAAACCCAATTAAATTATCAAAATCTTGCAATATTCATTAAAAAATATGTAAAGCATGATGCCTCTATAAGAGTGAGTCTCATAGAAATGTGCCCCCCCCCCTTACAAGTGCGGGGCCCTGGGCCAGTGCCCACTGGGCCCATGCCTTAAGACGGCACCGATGGGGTGCGGACAGAACCGGAGGACAAACTCACCGGAAGACACACTCACCAAGGAGGGTGACTCCAAGTGGACAGTTGCAAATTCGATCCATAAAAAAATAAATAATAATAATAATGTCGCTCCAGTCCTCTTCAAAGCAGAGCTCGGTTAATAACATGAGCAGGGTGACACCAGTTAAGGTATCAACAGATCAGGTTGCCACTCTTGCAGGTTGCCACCATTGCGGGTTGCCACCATTGCGGGTTGCCACCATTGCGGGTTGCCACCATTGCGGGTTGCCACCATTGTGGGTTGCCACCATTGCGGGTTGCCACCATTGCGGGTTGTCACCATTGCGGGTTGCCACCATTGCGGGTTGCCACCATTGCGGGTTGCCACAAGAACAGGGCGTCAACAGACAGAGGTAAGCTATCGCCATAGAAGGTTGTCACTACAGAAGGTTGCCTTCAGCACAGTGTGCCATCACCGTATAAACTGTCCCCAGAGAAGTTTGCGTCAAATCTGGTAGCCAACAGAAAAGGTTGCCACAGAGCATGTTGTCACCAGAGCAGGCAGATTCGGTGTGGTTCCGTGGGGGGGGGGGGAGAGAGCAGTATGTTTATAAACGAGAAGTGTGGCACCATTGGCTTACCGCACTGGGCAACTCCAACCTTAGTGACCCCAATGACTTGATCATTTTTTTAAACACCATCCCCCTCCCCCACCCTCTGGCCCCATCTCTCTCTCTCTCTCTGAGGTTCGCCGCCCTTAAATATTTGCCAATTTCGCTAATGATCAGAGCTAATTTAGATATGAAAGTTGAGTTTATTCAACCGCTTTTTAATAAGATAAACATCATCTCACAGCTACTGTAAACTGGTTTCACTGAATTCAGCCAACAATTCTGGCAATAGCTTCCATCGTGTCTGATAATGACTTTGGCGGCAGCACTGAGAGAAGCATTTTTTTTTTTTTTACAAAGTAGCTCCACATTTGCAAATAGCCCCCAAACAGTTGACTTACTAACTCCCACTGTGAAAGTCGATAAACCTTTAGTTTTTATCGAAGAAAGAAATGATGAAGTAAACATAGTAGGTACTAATTTTTAAAAGAAAACCGAGGTAACCTGTCCTTAATGATGAATTTTTCGTTAAATTATGAGCAGTTAGTTTGTCACAGCCGCAACAATTTTCATCATAAAAATGATTAAAATCATGACATATAGTTTCTTAATGTGAGATGTGATGATGGTGATGCGTAGTTTTTAGAAAGAAGAGGTTTTGATAATGGTGATGAATATTTTTTTGAGAGTGGTAGATAATGATAATTTATTTTAATTTTTTTGGACACTGGGAGATATGATAACCGGGATGTGCAGTTTAAAAGCGGTGGATGGGGACAATGCTGATGTCAGAACGCGCCCATGTTGGGAGGGGAAAGAGAAAAAACAAACAAACAAAAACCAACGAACACGCTCAATGCTAAAGTTCATTGTGATGCATCGACACCGTGCAGCGGCGTGTGTTCGTATTCCAATGTCTGCGATGCCAAGTGCCAAGCGTTGGGGAGCAGAGCGAAGCGCTTGTTGCTCACGGACACTGCCAACGACCATTGACCCTGTTGATCACATCGTTTTTCACGTATTGTTTAATGTTAAAGAATCGTTTGGAAAAAAAAAATCGCTTGACAGCCCTATTTCTAAATCCTATAGGTCCAGACTTGTTTAAAGAGACGTGCAATAGCGGCGGCAATTCATTTTTTAAACTTTTCTACTTTAGTAATAACACTATTAGCATTCTCTTCCATGAAACTGACATTAATGATTTTTTTTACAATTACCGTGAGCAGCGGTTCCTAACTTGTTGTGTGAGTTGGTTACTTGAGTTCTGAACATTTTTTCTTTAAAACGGAGCCTTCTTGGTAAAAGGATACTTGGTGTTTTTTTGTTGTTGTTTTTTAAATGATATTCAGCGATTAATGATACCAAAGTTTCCATTTAAAAAAAAGTCTGATGATCCCCATGTACCAGGCCATATAGTGTGAGAATGGGTCAGACGCCCTGAGAAGAGAAAAATAAATAGTTGTATTAAAAATGAATAAACCTTTGCTTTTCTCGACGACCCCGGGTCTTGTAGGAATGTCCAGATTTTCGACCGGTACCTGATCCAACAGGAACTCTCTGCATCAAGGTCCGGTGCCTGAGATAGGTGAACATATCAGTGAATAGGATGCAAATCATAACAGTCTATGAAGTGCTATGATACATTACAGTCAATGGTGTGCTTTAATACATTACTGTCAATGGTGTGCTATAATACATTACAGTCAATGGTGTGCTATGATACTTACAGTCAATGGTGTGCTATGATACTTACAGTCAATGGTGTGCTATAATACATTACTGTCAATGGTGTGCTATAATACATTACAGTCAATGGTGTGCTATAATACATTACAGTTAATGGTGTGCTATAATACATTACAGTCAATGGTGTGCTATGATACATTACAGTCAATGGTGTGCTATGATACATTACATTCAATGATGTGCTATAATACATTACTGTCAATGGTGTGCTATAATACATTACAGTCAATGGTGTGCTATGATACATTGCAGTCAATGGTGTGCTATGATACATTACAGTCAATGGAGTGCTATGATACATTACATTCAATGATGTGCTATAATACATTACTGTCAATGGTGTGCTATGATACATTACAGTCAATGGTGTGCTATGATACATTACAGTCAATGGTGTGCTTTAATACATTACTGTCAATAATGTGCTATAATATATTAAAGTCAATGGTGTGCTATAATACATTACAGTCAATGGTGTGCTATGATACATTACCGTCAATGGTGTGCTATAATACATTACAGTCAATGGTGTGCTTTAATACATTACTGTCAATAATGTGCTATAATACATTACAGTCAATGGTGTGCTATAATACATTACATTCAATGGTGTGCTATGATACATTACAGTCAATGGTGTGCTATTAATACATTACAGTCAATGGTGTGCTATGATACATTACAGTCAATGGTGTGCTATGATACATTACAGTCAATGGTGTGCTATAATACATTACAGTTAATGGTGTGCTATAATACATTACAGTCAATGGTGTGCTATGATACATTACAGTCAATGGTGTGCTATGATACATTACATTCAATGATGTGCTATAATACATTACTGTCAATGGTGTGCTATGATACATTACAGCCAATGGTGTGCTATGATACATTACAGTCAATGGTGTGTTGTAATACATTACAGTCAATGATGTGCTATAATACATTACAGTCAATGATGTGCTATAATACATTACAGTCAATGATGTGCTATAATACATTACAGTAAAAGATGTACTTTAATTACAGTCAATAATGTGCTAAAATACCTAACAGAAAATATCTTACTTAAAGATTATTTTGAAGGTTATCTTGCATGAACTTATGGACTTGTGGCTTAACGGTTTCAAGCAAAGCAGCTATGTACGGTATTGGCATATGTCAACGTTATTTTAGTGTGCTGATAAATTGGAAGCAACTAAGAATGAAATGCCGAGGACAGCTGTTAACCCGATGAGTGCAGCTGTGTCTGATGTAGTGTGTCTGATGTAGTGTGTCTGATGTAGTGTGTCTGATGTAGTGTGTCTGATGTAGTGTGTCTGATGTAGTGTGTCTGATGTAGTGTTTCTGATGTAGTGTGTCTGATGTAGTGTGTCTGATGTAGTGTGTCTGATGTAGTGTGTCTGATGTAGTGTGGTCAGTGTAGAGTGGTTGATGTAGTGTGGCTGATGTAGCGTGTCTGATGTAGTGTGGTTAGTGTAGAGTGGTCAATGTAGTGTGTCTGATGTAGTGTGGTCAGTGTAGAGTTGTTGATGTAGTGTGTCTGATGTAGTGTGGTCAGTGTAGAGTGGTTGATGTAGTGTGTCTGATGTAGTGTGTCGGATGTAGTGTGTCAGATGTAGAGTGGTCAGTGTAGAGTGGTTGATGTAGTGCGTCTGATGTAGTTTGTCGGGTGTAGAGTAGTTGATGTAGAGTGGTTGATATAGTGTGGTTAATGTAGAGTGGTAGAAGTAGTGTGGTCGGTGCGGAGTGGTTGGTGTAGAGTGGTTGATGTAGTGTGGTTGATGTTGTGTGGCTGATGTAGAGTGGTTGATATAGTGTGGCTGATGTAGAGTGGTTGATGTAGTGTGGTCGGTGTAGAGTGGTTGATGTAGAGTGGGTGATGTAGTGTGGCTGATGTAGAGTGGTTGATGTAGTGTGGTTGGTGTAGAGTGGTTGATGTAGTGTGGTTGATGTTGTGTGGCTGATGTAGAGTGGTTGATGTAGTGTGGTCGGTGTAGAGTGGTTGATGTAGTGTGGTTGATATAGAGTGATTGATGTAGAGTGGTTAATGAAGTTCAGATGATGTAGAGTGGTAGATGTGGTGTGGTTGGTGTAGAGTGGTTGATTTAGTCTGGCTAATGTAGTGTTGTTGTTGTAGAGTGGTTGATGTAGTGCGGCTGATGTAGAGCGGAGGATGCAGTGTGGCTGATGTAGAGTGGTTGTTGCAGAGTGGTTGATGTAGAGTGGCTAAAGTCTCCGCCCAGAATAATTACTTAAGGTTTGTGTCAGTGGTGCATGGTTTGAGAATAATGTATGGATTAAGTTAAAACATCGATGCTATTGGTATCGCCTGAGGTAATTGCATAACCTTCGTTCACCTGTTGCGTTGTTGAAAACTTTCGATCATACTCTAATTTCTCGAGCGACCGACACTGCGTCTTCCATGTGTTGTACTGTGTCCAGCAACATCGAGCGATGTCCACCTCTTCAATGCCCCAGAATTCCAGCTCATTCTGCAATGGTAAGACATTCGGCTCTTAGATTTAATTTCAGTTTGTTTACTGTAACAACTCAGAGACAAACACTGTGAACAGTTGAATACCGCCCCCCCTTCCCCCCCCCCCAACCTTTATTGAAACACACACGGATTAACGCAGTTTTACTCGGTGTTGGAATTTCCATAGTCTCCTGGGATTGGTCAGTCTGGCCTACAGCCAACAGCTGATTGGTCGCCTGCTGTTTGTCACTGACCAGTGCTCCTAACGTTACAACCCGCGTTGTGTTTCTTTTGGGGATGTAAAAGGAGGGGGGGGGGGAGATGTGAAGTTTAGCTGACGTATTTTCAGTTCACACGATCGTATTTTGCGTCGAATTTCTTTTCGAACGCATCATTTTGTTTTACTCTATAGTACTAGAATAAATGACCCGAAGTTATCGGGATAATAATGGTAGGTCCTTTGCGATAGTTTCTACCTGCTATTGCAAAAACTCAGCACAATCCCTAACTTTAAAAAGAAGTATCTATGTAATTTTAATTAAGTTTCTAACATCATTAAGTTTTGAGAAGTAATTATCTGCTACATGTAATACGCCTACCCTACTCCTTTTCACGCCCCTAAACTACATTTTCCCCTTTAAACATGACCTTAAATCACCCAATCTAAATTATCACCAATTATATCACTTTTGTCACTAAAGAAGTTAATTGAGGGACGATTTCTATGCTAGAGAATTACTTTAGATTTTCCCCTTTTCGTACCCTTGAATTCCAACTTTTTTTTTCTTCTTCTTCTATATCTTAAGGGCCCACGATCAATTTATTGATCATTTTGGCTCCTATGCATGTAGATGGGATTTGCAATGTTTCTGTTACTGGTGTTGATGAGGAAAGCATGCACTAAGGGTTTGAAGGCTTGAGGCAATAGACACAAATAAGTCTAGTGTTGTCGCCTCAACCGTTCCTTTTGAAAGATTGTTCCAGTCCCTGATTGTCTTGGGCAGGAATGAGCAGCTCCTATACTGGCTTCTTACTGGTATGAGCCTGAATTGCCTGTCATGGCCTCGTCGCTGTCTATGGGTAGAGGGACGAGTTTCTGTTTAATACAGGAACAGTGGACCAGCCCATTATTTATCTTGTACATCATGGAGAGCCTGGATTGTCGTCGTCGTTTCTCCAATGGTGACCAGCCTAGTGTTTCTAGCATGCTGCCAACACTAGAGGTATTCTTTTATCTCAAGAAGAATCTCGCATCCGTTTTTCACGCCTATAACAGACTTGAGTGTCTTTTTTTTTAAATTTTAAATCGTTAATCTCATAAAAATACACAGCTCTTTACTTTTAGCAAAGTAAAAAGAAAAACATATTTTCATTTGGGTTTTGATATTCAAGCTATACTTATATAAATGTACCAACAATTTGTTAAAGCCATTGATTTTCTTAATTGGTAAACATACGTATATTTTAAAAAGATAATGTAACATCTCTTTTTTCACAAATGTAATACCATAGGATTTAAATATATTGTCATCCGCGTAATAATGTACACATCCTTTTTCCTACCTCCAAAATGTATGAACCCAAGAAGATTAATTATTGATCAAATTCATTCCTTTATTTTGAGACGTATCTTGTATTGCCTTGGGCAAAATGAAAATACCCATATTTGTAAAAAGAGAATGTAATATCTCTTTTTTCACAAATATTGTCATCCACGTAAAAATGTACACATCTTATTTCCTACATCCGACATATGTTGACTCAAAAAAATTAATTATTTATCAAATTCATTCCTTTATTTTGAGACGTATCTTGTGCTGCCTGGGGCAAAGTGACCACCCCACCCAGATTTAAATAAATTTAGAAAATCATCCACTGGATTGTAGTCCCTTCCATACCCAAACTAACATATTTTGCATTTCATATGGTTCGTTATTATTTGTATGAGTTATAAGTGGATTAGTGAATGTTATTTGGCTATAGAGTTGCAGTGCACTGCTTGAATTGAACGGCATTCTCTTATTAGAAGTATATTTAAAGGTTACGTCTTTAATGGGAGTCGCTTAGTCACTTCCTTGTTTGGTCACGTGATATGAGTAAGTCATCACTAGGCTGCAACACACAACAAAAGATACTTCATCAGTGCTTCCCCAATGTCATGTTACTTAAAAATTTTACCTTTCGTAATATTCTGGAATACACGCGTTTTTTAAATGGAATACATAAATGTGACAATAAATATACATCAGTTATAATTAAAGGAAGAAAGTTATTTCAAGAAAAATTTGTGAGCGATATTCGATGGGAACTATCAATACTATTATCGGCAGGATGTTGTTGAGCTCCGTGCGTGCTCATGACGTCATTTGCGTTGTTATTCAATATTGATGCAGGAGTCATTCCCCTTTGTTTATTTTATTGTTAATTTTCATTGGACGAAATGTAGTGTAGTTGTAGTGTGTATCGGGCTACTGTTGTCAAGCACTAGTGTGTTGTATACAGTATACCGGAAATCTTACTCGTTTTTACTCATATCACGTGACAAATAAATTGACTAAGCGACTCCCATTACGTTATAAATTTAATAAAAGTATATTTTTGGAATGAAAAAAACGGTAAAACTTATTAAATGTTAAAAATAAAAAGCTAAAATTGTTGTGTGTTTTATTAAGAATTTAAAGAGAAATCAATTAAATTTATTAGTTTTACTTTTTAAGATGGGTGAACTACTTGATCAGTTTTGTAACGCGCTTTTCTTAAATCAAAGAAACTAAAGAGTTTTGGCTAACATTGGGTCTCTCGCGATGACGTCATTTGGGTGTTTATTAAGAAAAAAATAATTTTAATATTATATCGTAATATTAACATTGCACTAAAAACGCATTAAAAACAACTGATTTTTGGGGTTTTCCCGATAATTAAGATTACGATGTAATTCTTAGATCATAATTTTATTATTAATTTTTGTTTCATAACTTTTAAATTCGGATAAACTGCTTAAAATATATCCTTAATTGTTATTAAATTTATTTTTGATTGATAATAATAATACTCAAACTTTAAATAATATAAAAGCGGATTTAAAATATATTTTGCGCATTTAAATTTATTCGATTTCCGTAAAATGATAGCAAATAATTAAAATTGTTTTTAGGAATCCGAACGTACTTAAATCTTATCGGTTCTTTGGCGTTATGTCGCTATAGCTCATTCTTATATATATAGTGCTTTCAAAAAGAAATTTGACGCAAATTAGATGGTGTGAAATGAAAAAAAAAAAAAATTCGATCAAATTCCTTTTGACCAAATGTCCGTCGATCAATCATCCGTCGGCGAAATTTCTTTCAAGCAAATTTCCGGATACGCTATGCACTACAAGCGGTTCACGGAAACTGAATTAGGAAATTATCAACAATGAATTGTAGCTTTCCAATTGACCCAATGGTAATATGGTAATTTACCAAAATACGTGTACTTCTCCCAACCAATCCTACCCAGGGTGCCACCCTTTTTTTCCCTTCGTATCCGGGGGGGGGCGGCATTTTCGATCATGGTAGAGGGGCGGTAAAGACACATTAACAACTAGCATCCCCTACCCACCTTTTTTGCCCCCGTCTCTGGTGCTAACCTGTAAAGCTGTTTCTAACACGTAAGGCAGGTATTAACGCGTGAGACTGGAACTAAGCAGTAAGGCAGGTACTTGCCTGCAGTGTAGCACAACACACCTGTAACGCTGGTACTAACCTGTAAGGCAGGTATTTGCCTGCAGTGTAGCACAACACACCTGTAACGCTGGTACTAACCTGTAAGGCAGGTACTTGCCTGCAGTGGTGGCACAACACATCTGTAACGCTTGTACTAACCTGTAAGGCAGGTACTTGCCTGCAGTGGTGGCACAACACATCTGTAACGCTTGTACTAACCTGTAAGGCAGGTACTTGCCTGCAGTGGTGGCACAACAAATCTGTAACGCTTGTACTAACCTGTAAGGCAGGTACTTGCCTGCAGTGGTGGCACAACAAATCTGTAACGCTTGTACTAACCTGTAAGGCAGGTACTTGCCTGCAGTGGTGGCACAACACATCTGTAACGCTTGTACTAACCTGTAAGGCAGGTACTTGCCTGCAGTGGTGGCACAACACATCTGTAACGCTTGTACTAACCTGTAAGGCAGGTACTTGCCTGCAGTGGTGGCACAACAAATCTGTAACGCTGGTACTAACCTGTAAGGCAGGTACTTGCCTGCAGTGGTGGCACAACAAATCTGTAACGCTTGTACTAACCTGTAAGGCAGGTATTTGCCTGCAGTGGTGGCACAACAAATCTGTAACGCTTGTACTAACCTGTAAGGCAGGTACTTGCCTGCAGTGGTGGCACAACAAATCTGTAACGCTTGTACTAACCTGTAAGGCAGGTATTTGTCTGCAGTGGTGGCACAACAAATCTGTAACGCTTGTACTAACCTGTAAGGCAGGTACTTGCCTGCAGTGTAGCACAACACACCTGTAACGCTGGTACTAACCTGTAAGGCAGGTACTTGCCTGCAGTATAGCACAACACATCTGTAACGCGGGTACTAACCTGTAAGGCAGGTACTTGCCTGCAGTGTAGCACAACACATCTGTAACGATGGTACTAACCTGTAAGGCAGGTACTTGCCTGCAGTGTAGCACAACACATCTATAACGCTGGTACTAACCTGCAAGGCAGGGCCGCACATGTTGGTTGGTATGTGGAGCTCTCCGGTCCTGAGAAAGTTGAGAATTGAGCCAAAAGCCGTTGGATCCCTGTCAAAAAAGTAGTCCCCGTGCGACTTCCGATAGTAGAGTTCCAGCTGGTCGTCACAGTTGAAGATTGGCGTCCGCAGCCGCCGCATCGTGGCGCGGTAGGTTTCGAACACGTGCCCTCCGACGTTGAGAATAACCGTCTCGCGCCTGTGTCTCTTTCTAGTCCTCACCCCCCTCCCGCCCCGTGGACGCCGTATCCCTCTGCTGCCTGGGTTGTTTTGATCTTCGTTGTTATTGTTGTTGTTGTTCCTGTTGGTGCTGGCGTCCTTCTGAGCGCAGCTGCACCGCGGCGTGTCAGGAAATCCCGTCGGCGGTCGGAGGAGGCAAGATGGTGGAAGGAGCCGATCGCCGAAAGCGGAAGCGATGGGGCCGTCTTTGTTGCCGTTGATGTGTTCTTCAGCTGCCAGGATCCGTCTGTTGTCAGCATTGTACTCGGCGTGGAGTCGGGTGTCTGTGTGGTCGGCGTACGGTCTGTCTGATGATGCCGCCTTGGTAGGATGTGTGTGGAACAAGGGGCAGGAGGTCTCGTGCACTAGGGCTCCGTCAGGACTCGGGCCATCCTCATCGTCCTCGTCACTCTCCGGAAGTTCGCAGACGGATACAGTCTTCCGGCGCTGCCTCCCTCTGCCGTCCTGGGGAACCTTGCGTCGTAGACGCCAGTCCAATCCGCCTTGGGGAAAAGATGGTCGGCGCTGTGAAATATCGAACCAAATATAAATTTAGAGAAACATAATAATAATAATAATAATAATAATTCATGTAACAACGTATACCAGTTTAATACCTTTAAACCGTAGTTAGTATTGGTATATGACTTCCTCGAATTTTTTTGTCCTTTTTTTTTACGTTTTCTTTTTGAAAAATTATTTTTTCTTGAAGATATTTTCTTTTAGTAAGACTTTTAAAAACACATGCATATCCTACACACGCTTTTTAAAAATTAATTTGCTATTAATATCGAGAACCTGAACCTCCCATTAAGCTCCATGTTTGTTTGTTTGCTTGTTTGTAAATTTGTGTGTGTGTGAATTTATTATAGTCCGTTGTTCACCTCGACCAAAACATCACTGAATTATATCTTATTCCATTTTTATACATAAGATAAATTAAGTTAGTAAAAAAAATTTTTTTTTAAATTATGATGATACATCCCACCCTCATCATCACAGATACACAAGATCAGCTCGACCAGGGAGAATTCATTCCCTTAAAGCTTGGACTGAACAATATTTTAAAAATACAAATTCTACAGCGTGCTACCCCAGCGGTTACCAAATCTAAATGACCGCTAGATAACACGTTATGGTCAATATAGGAGTTCTTTGATGGCTGATTTCTGCGCTAGAGAAATACTTTGGATGTCTTATAGAAATGTAAAATGTTGTGTTGGATAGAATATGCATTTATTTAGGGGCTGAAAAGTAATATGTAAAGTGTAATAGAAAAGCAAGTTTATTTATTTGGATCAATAAAGAATTTTATCTTATTGAGAAAAGTACATTTTATAGAAGATGCATTCACAGAAAGTCCCTCGATGGTTATCTCTGTTAAGTTTTAAAAACAGCTGTGAGCGATCTTTAAAAAATATACATGCTGAAAATATCTTCATCCAAGGTTAACCGGAATAGATGATGAGAACCCCAGACAAGAAATCGTCCAAATGCTCGCAGCTGCCAGAACACACAAGGTTCTCTGCGCTCGCCTCTTCGTGGATCTAGGTGCCCTAAAGCTAATATTTCGGCCATTATCTGTTTCATAGACCATCTGTCAACGCCCCTATTTTTCACACCTGCAAAAACAAATAATTTATGGTATCGGACTGGTGTGAAGGGTGCCAGTTGTGCTCTTGGCGTCAGCGGTAAAATTCCATGATAAACTTATAGCCGATTACCTAAATATCCGAGAATTGCTGTAGACAAGTATCGGAGTGACGCAGCAGGAGAGGGGGGGGGGAGTAACGTGACATCACAGCAGACCTCTGATGTCAGCTTCCAGGGCAAAATGTCAGGCATTCCGACTTGTCTGATAAAATAACTTTCATTGTTGCACCCTACCTGCAACGCTATATACCAGGGGACGTCAAACTTTTTAACCATGGGACACTTTCATTGCCCTTAACACTGTTGGGTGGGAGCCGGAATGTAGTTTGAAAGAATAAAAAAAGACTGAACGAATTCCTATGCACGCTGCACATCTTGTTTGGTATATTTTTTTTTTAAAAAAGGAAAATATTTATACAATATTTCAAATGAAGTACGGTTTTAAATCAACATAAAAGTATTCGATTACGGGAAGTAATCGCAAAGTTTTGGTTAATGCGATGGTCGATGTCCGGTTTCATATTTGTCACTGCCACCTGGGTACCCGTACTGTGGCCAGGCGAGCCGGGTTGATGCAGGATGAGGTCCGCGGGCAATAGTTTGAGAAACCCTGCTGAGTATGATGGCATGTCAGAGGTTGCAGACAAGTCAAATGTCAAGTAACTCAGTAGGTCTACGATTTTAAATAAAACAAAGGTATGAAACATAATATTTTGTATTGTTCATACAATTGCTATATAATTTAGATTCATAATTTTCAGTTTCAACCTTGTGTGTAATATATATATATATATATATATCCTGAAATTTGTTTGAAAGAAATATTCGTCGACGGAAAATTGATCGACGGAAGTTTGGTCGAACGGAAGTTTGATTGACATTTTGTTTTCAGTTCACACAATCAAATTTTGCGTAAAATTTCTTTTTGAACGCATTATTTTGTTTTTACTATATAGTACTAGCGAGAACCCGGCATGCGTTGCAATGCCACTCAAAGAAAGAAAGTGGTTGTGTTTGAATTGCGTTTTTTTAAATTTATTTTTATATAGACACATTTTTCGTGTAGTGCGTACACGATTAAATTAGAAGGTTTTTCGACGCATGAGCAGGCCACATACAGCTGTCCATATGAGACGTGAGCAGGCTACATACAGCTGTCCATATGAGAAGTGAACAGGCCACATACAGATGTCCATATGAGACGTGAGCAGGCTACATACAGCTGTCCATATGAGAAGTGAACGGGCCACATACAGATGTCCATATGAGACGTGAGCAGGCCACATACAGATGTCCATATGAGACGTGAGCAGGCCACATACAGATGTCCATATGAGAAGTGAACAGGCTACATACAGCTGTCCATATGAGAAGTGATCAGGCCACATACAGATGTCCATATGAGAAGTGAACAGGCCACATACAGATGTCCATATGAGAAGTGATCAGGCCACATACAGATGTCCATATGAGAAGTGATCAGGCCACATACAGATGTCCATATGAGAAGTGATCAGGCCACATACAGATGTCCATATGAGAAGTGAACAGGCCACATACAGATGTCCATATGAGAAGTGAACAGGCCACATACAGCTGTCCATATGAGAAGCGTGGATTTTCAAAATGTAGTTCACACTCTTGTAGAAATTGATCCAGCCATGCATTGGCTCTGTTTGAAATTATATTTATGTAGCTCATACACGAAAAATATAATTTAGGGCCCCTGCCTCAAATAGGAATAAGTTAAAATGGTTGTTATAATTCAAAAAACCTTTGCGGACATGCGCTCAACAAATCACTCAAGTTTTATCAGAATCGGATAAATGGTATAGGAGTGCATTATTAGGGAGATTATATTTACACAGCTCATATAAGGAAAAAAAACAACCGAAAAAAACCGGAATATTTTAAAAGGGTTGTAATGACTCAGAAAAATGCGCGGGGTCGTGGACAACAACTCACCAGCGTTTTACCGCAATTGCATGAATGGAATAGGAGCGCATGCGGGACACACATACATACAGACATTCATATATATATATATATATATATATATATATATATGTATGTATATATATCCATTCATACATCGAACCATGCCTGTGGCGTTACAGCCCATTCCTTTTATATATTTTAAATACGTTCGGATTCTTAAAAACAATGATAGTGATTTTCTATTATTTTACGGAAATCGAATAAATTTAAATATGCGGAAAAAATGTAATAATGTGAAATTTTATTTTAGTACAATTTAAAGCATTATTATTATAAATTACAAATACATTTGAAATGACAATGAAGGAACTCTTTGAAGCATTTTATCTGACATTGAAAGTTATGAAAAACAAAATTCTGTTCTCTTCCCTAAGTCGGCCATCTTCCCTATCCCTGCCCTCTCCCCATCTCTCCCCTATTCCCATTCTATAACGGGATAACCAATATACCCGTAATTCCGGTCAACTTAATTCGGAAGGTCGAGCTGACATTTAACATTTATCGACTAAGGGATGACACAATTTCCCCCAGATTTTACCCACAGATAGACCTACAGAAACATTTTTGGAAGTTTGAAGTAACCCAAGACAATAAAGACAAACATAATGATTGTTGTTAATGAATCAAAATATGTTTTTTTTTAAAAATAATAATACTTTTTTTTTTTTTTTTTTAAAGTTAAGAATTTATTTCCGCAACACTATAAAGGACTTTTCAAAATTTTACAAATTCACTGACCAATGGGAAAGATATAAAAAAAATTATATTTAAAAAGTTATTTAATCAGGTTATAAAAATGGAAATGGGTGAAACAAAGTATGGGAAAACCTAAAAAAAGAAATGAACGCAACAAAGGAAGCAATACGATAACGAGCAGATACAAGATGTTAAAAAAAAAAATTGCACTTAGCTGACCTCTTGTTGAAAGAAAAACAAGGGTTGATGCATATCAAATGCAAAGTTCCCAGAATGTCTGCCAGCAATATTGAGCGTAGTGCTCGCTTGTAACAGCGCCTCGTACATAGCGTACACCCTTGGGAAAAATGTTCCTCTGTGCAGCGATGCTCGGGTTAGAACTGTTCACTCATGAAGACTTAAGGGCGAAGCTCAAGGGTTACCCCCCTGCCACGCCCCGCGCCACCGCCGACATGAGACCCCAACCTAACAGCAGCAGACAAGTCACCGACGGTGGTGAGTCA